ATAAGTACCTAATGGATATTGTGATATGATTAATTTGGAATTTATTATAGGTACCTATTTTTTGTTTAATACCATAGATATGTATATAATATGTATTATACCTAGACTGACATACCGTCTTCGCTCAGAATCGTTTTTCTTATACAATGATAATATATCGTTGAATTCAAATTTAATATCATCCATTACACAGTGACCCACTTGTAACCTACTGTACAGCAGAGCGACACTCACTTGCCCACCTTTTTTTTTATTTAAAATAATAAAATATATAAAATTACAATTCATTAGGGATAATGGATAAAACAAATTTAAAACAAGTGATATGCTTTTTTAAGTTTATTAAAATATATTTTAAATTATATTTACAATTCAAGGTAGGTATATAATCAATATTGCTCATTATGGTACCGCAAGACAAAAATAACAAGGACCTAAATTTAACTTTTAAATTTGGAATTGTTATTCATTGATTTCGGAAGATTTACCTAGGACTAATAATGCAGTATAGGGATGGCATAATTTATTGTTTTACTTCAATTTTTAATCAATGCCATCCATTGGCGTAATTAAGGGGGGATTTGGGTGTCGAATTCCTCCCCCCCATAACCGTTTTTTTTTTAAATTTTCAAACACTAGTATATAAGACTAATTTTATTCATGTATATTTTATAGATTATACAAAAATCACACGAATCTCCATAATATTATATAATCATCCATCAATATTATCAAACAATATTATACCCGCTAAAAATAAGTGATGGATTTTCCACATTATCGGTTTATCGGAATATTCCCAATCGCAACGACTCTCCGGACTCCGACCTCCATTAGTCTGTTGACTGTTACTATGTTCTCATTTGGTAATAATCGGCAGAGTCGTGTTTAACGGGAGCCGGGAGGCAAAGGGGGCAACTGTCCCTTTATCATTTTCATATTTTAAGAACGGAGTAAACATATTGTTAATACCAATATTATTCATTATTAATTATTATATTATACTTGGACGTTTTTGGTGAAAAAGGGTATGTCAGTTTAAAAAAAAAGTAAATATTATTCTTTCATATTGGCGATTGAAAGTGATAAGGCGTTACGGGGACGCTGTGTATCATTATATGTTATTTTACATGTTCCCCGTTACAGAACCACCACCCGCCGGATTGATAAGCTTTCAATCGGCAATAGTAGATATTTTTACGCCGGATCGACTATTGGCACTGACATTTAGCTAACTCGTTTCTTAAGAATATCATCTATTGAGATGGCTATATTTTATATGTTATTTTTAGATTTTATACAGTGATATTAAATAGTGAACAAATATTAAAATCTATGCAGAAAAACGTATTGATACCGTATGGTAACGTATGGTATTTATCCTGATGATATTGAAAACGATTTCATAGGAGAAGTTTTACAATTTAAAGATATAATTTGTAACTTTTCTATTGAAAACGAATCATCATCTGTGCTTCACATTTTAATAAAGCTCTCATACAATCTCAGCTTTCTTCAACATTCCCAAATGTTGAAATAGCTCTAAGAATTTTTTTGCTCTCTTCTATACTCTAATGTCACTGGGGAACGTTCTTTCTCAGTTCTAAAGAGTGAAAAATTACCTTAGGTCATCATGATCTAATGAAAAACTTTCGGCACTTTCCATATTGAGTATAGAGAATACAATATTAAAACAAATAGAATGGGAACAAAAAAATTCATAAATTCGCTTCGGGATAAGTTATCAGAAAAAAATTGATCTAAAACTGTTATATTCAAATAAAATATATTGTATTTTAAATAGTTATTTTAATAATCAATTCCTCAAAATGAAAATAACTATTTTTTTTTTTTTTACTGCACTGTAAAATATTTAAATTTAAACTATAATTAAAACATAATTAATTATTTTTTAAATTGTGGCAAAGAGGCGTTACATTTATTTTGCCCCCGGCGTTTTTAACTCTTAATCCGTCGCTGATAATCGGCTCTATTAGCTGCACTCCTCTGCTTAAAGTGCTTAATGAATAAGCATTAAGACCACGAAGTGTGCTTTTATTGTGATTTGTGATGTAACTGCATCTAGTATCTAGGACCTAGGTATCAATAAAGTTAATGTTTAAGTGTACCTAAATGTGAATATCTAAATATTATGTTATTATTTATTTTAATGTATAGTGTATACCTACAATATTACATAGATACAGATCATAATGGTTGTATACTTGTATTGAGAGGTGCTTATTGCTAAAATGATTATAAAAAAAAAAAAAATGTTGAGTAGGGAAATGTACATACATTTCATCCCCCCCCCCCCACAACCATAAACCAAATTACGCCACTAATGCCATCCAAGTATTTAAAAAGTCATATCTGCGTTGAAGAAAATGTCCAAGGTTTTGACCGAAACAATTTTTTTGTCACGCCTGCACTGAAAGTTTAGTTTTCGACCATGGTTGAAGCGTTCGAAAGCGTCCTTTTTCCGTCCAGCGGGCGGTAAAGTGGAAATCCCCAAAGTGCCGGGCGGAAAAGAGGAAATCCCCAAAAGTGCCGGCCGCCGGGCGCGTATCCCCTGCACAACCAGAAACTAAAATGTATACCTAGTACCTACCACGGTTCTTACAAAACATAAACTTTTGGTTACATCTTAAATGTATAGTATAACCTCCTTACATGACGCATAGATCCCTGCATAACCTTTTCCATGAACGCAGGGGCGTGACAAAAAATAGTATGTGTGGCTCGCGCGGGAAGGCCATTTCAGTCTTGTGCGAAATGCGGCACTCGCCTACGGCTCGTGCCGCACACGACGCCCGCGACTGAAATGGCTCACTTCCCGCCCTTGCCACACAATATACTATTGTGTTCAAGGTTTTGACGGTAACAATTTTTTTGTTCAAGATTTTGACGTTCAGAGCTTTGATGGAAACTACTTTTTTGTTCAAGTTTTTGAATGTTCAAGATGTTGACATAAATTTTTGTTCAAGATTTTATCGTTCAATATTTTGACGTTCAATTGTTTGACATTCAATGTTTTGAAGGCCTCCCAACATTTTTATATCTTAAATTAGAAAAATTAATACAAGATTTCTCGTAGTAAATACCTTAACCAACAAATCTCAAAAACATATAAACAGTTTTTTCTATAGATATTTAAGTTAAAATTATGTTCTATTACAGATTTTTGTCTGTTGGCCTAAATTGTGTTGCCTTAAAATATGAATTTTCACTTGGTAGAAGCACTATTCGTAAAAATATTAAAGTAACGTGTGAAGTGATTTGGAATATTCTGCAGCAAGCTGAAATGCAAGAAGTAAGAACACAGTTTCTAACAGTGGCGTGATGTAGCTGACAAATTTTTTACAAAAACCCAATTTTCCAACTGTGTGGGAGCACTGGGATCTGTCGAGTGCCGACGGAAAGCACATTTGATGCGTCAATCACAAAAACCCGAGATCTATTTATTTTAATTATTGGCAATTTTTCTCGATAGTTGGGTATAATTATGGCAGTAGTGGCTTCTTTATATCTATTGACATAGGTGCATACGGACGATAAGGTGATTCCACTGTTTTTAAAGAATGACCCTTCGAAAACTCTTATATTAGGAATAACTTGGCAGTTGCATACTGGCACTTGTTTATTTGCCAAATACCTGCAGTGACAACCCTCAGTTGTATGTTGTAATTGGAGATAAAACCTTTGGTCTACATAAAAATTTATTAAGGCTTTTTCTGTGACGTGGTATTCATCAAAGAAAATAAATGCTTAACTATATGTCATCAAGAGCAAGAAGGTATGTAGAGTGTTCTTTTGGCATTTCTACTGGCAAATAATTAATAAATGGCAATTTGTACATACAGCAATTAATGTATAGAACTGGATTTTGTCGATATTATTGTTAAAGCTTAATGTATAGTTCACAATTTTGTCAGAAGGTGTAAATTTTGAAGATATACGCTAAGAAATAGCTTAAATGATTTAGAAGTACATCAGAATGATACTGGAGGTCGTTCACAAAGCAAAGATGTGAGAGACTATTTTGAAAATTATTTTTTAGAAGCTGAATCTGTTCCATTTCAATATATATATACCTATATAATTGTAATTAATATTATAACTTTTTTAAAACTTATTTGGGAATAAGCGTATTCATTCCTATATTTATCCAAGACTAGCTGAACCCGTGCACTTCGTTGCCCATTAAGTGTACCAACTCTATATGACTCAAACTTTGTTCAATTCGTTATTTAATATTCGGTGTATGGTGTTCAAAATTAATCTTAACTTTTCCGTTGCCAGGAATAAAAATTTTGATTCTCTGCAGTACATTATCTCAGGTCTAGTCAATTTATCTGTGGTAGATCGGCTCGATCGAGGACCCCGTGTCTAAAGTATCAATTATCAAAGTTATACCGAGTTTGTCGTATTCTAAATATGGTGGATAATATAATCAATTATTACAAAATCCTATTAAATAAATTAAAAGGAAGTACAAACAAATACTTCTTTAAATCACTTAATAAATCAGAAGTGGGATTTGTGGATCCGGTACCACAAAGTGGATTCGTGAGTGAACGTGTCGTTAAGTGTGGTTCGATCGGTGTCGAACATGTGGATTGTAACGACTTGCAGGAAGACTTCGAACGTGTCGATCGCTGAAGCGAGCGTTGTCTGTTACAAAAATCATAACAAGTCGGTAGTTGCGTAAATTCCGTTGGTTACGGATTATCGGACACGAGGTCTTGTCGGTTAAGACGAACGTTGAGTGGTACAAGTGTCGTGTGCTGGTGAATTGTCGCGAATTTGGAGGCCAGGGAAGCTTCTGAGGTCAAAAGCAAAGATGAAAGAAGACTATGATTTGCACCGACACAACAACACTAAATATACGGTTGGAGAAATTGTGGTGATGACGATAGTGCCTACTCATACAGGGCAATCAACCAAATTGCAAAATAAATATAGGGGACCATTGACAATCACAGAAGTATTGCCAGGTGATGTCTATCGGGTTGCTCAACTACAAGAAGATCAGAAAAGACTGTTTACAACAACGGCACATCGCACATGTATCTCAGCTCAAATCTTGGAGGTTGGAGGATGAACCAGACGAAGCGAGTGATACCAGCGAGGAAGAAGGACGAGGGCCAAGTGGTGCGACCAGTTGTGAAGATGATGCTGATCCACCACCAGAACACAAGAAGAATAGCAAAGAGGTTAGGAGGTCAGACAGGGTCAGGAAGAAGCCTTCAAAGCTAGACGATTATGTTTAACGACACTTATGATAACTAAGATAATTAATAATGTTTTTTTTGTGTTTATTATATTTTGTATATTATGTTAATATATATGCTATGAGGACATAGCAAGGCAGGAAGGCCGAGTGTAAAGTATGAGTTGGCTAGACTGCTCTAGCAGAGGGACACTGGTGCTGAGCGGGAATGTGAGTAGCGAGTAGCGACTAGTAGTCTCGACAACTCGACTAGACGTTCACGGTAGTCAGTAACAGATGTTCTATATAAAAATGTTTTCTGTTTGTGAAATAAATAGTAAGTGATTTAGTAAGTGAAGAAGTATTTGTTTGTACTTTCTTTTAATTTATTTAATAATCCTAACCTAACCTAACCGTACTAAAATCAGATGAATAAAAAAAACCTAATTTAACCATTTTTAAATTAGCTAATCTTCTTCCCAGAGGTATAATCTACACACAAACATTCAATTTTATACATATATACATAAAATATATATAAATGTATATATTGACAAAAAATAATAATAAAAATCAAAAATATGACCGATTAATCAATAACAACCAAAATATAATACACTATTATTATTTTTTTTTTTGGCCATGGCGCCAGGTGTCCACTTAAGAGGCCATAATTCCGGAACCACTTACCGCACAGCGTACAAACTTCACGGAAACTATCTAAACAAAAAAAAAATTGACGTATAATAGGTACCTATAATAAACTTAAAATTAATCATATCACAATATCCATTAGGTACTTATAACACGTTATACATCAACAACAAATCGTGATACCATCATAGATATATAAAAGTACACTTTAGAAGTTTCAAGTACCTACCCACGAATAATGTTATACAATCACAAGTCACAACAAAATAACTTAAATAGTTATTCTAGGTTTTTTTTGTGTAATTTCGTCCAAATTTGAACTTAAAATGACTATAAAAATAAACTGTGCTTATGTATTTTTAGATTTTTTGGTATCAGAGTTAACTACTTAGGTGGAATCTTGTTTTCAACAATTCTAATTGTTTTGTAATAATAATTATTATTCATCCATCGACCATCTTGAATCCTGTATTATATCTGAAAAATCAATATTTTTATTAAAACCCCTTGTATGATATGCATAGGCAATAGATTATGCAGGAATGCGGTACCTACCTTATCAGAATTGATAAGTGCTAAATGTACGGACAGCGGGAGCATTGCCGTTGGCTGCTAACTTCACAGACATCATCAATACTTGTATCACAGAATATAATAATAATAATATTATCCTCTACATCTTACGTTTACTTTATCATAATAACAAAAAAGTAAATACCGTAAACAATTATTCAACTATTATGGATGAGATGATTTTTTTCTGTAAAGTTTTATTTTAACTGTGACATTTTAATTTTTTGTTTTGTGTTTTTATTTGAATTTTTAAAAATATTATTAAACCAATAGACTGGTAAATGTATTATGTATTTTCGTTTTGATAATCTAGGTAGTAGTATTTAGTAATGAATAATGTTATTATGTAGGTTAATTATTGATTCTCGATTTTTGTGATATTAAAATTTAACAGTACCTAGCATTAGGTAGCATAGACAATTATGTGTTTATGACGTTATAAACATACATAATGGGATTCTCATATGAGAAGCGTCCATTAAAAAGGCCTCGTCTTGGTCCGCCCGATGTTTATCCACAAGAACCCAAACAAAAAGAGGTGAGTGTTTTTTAATTATAATAAACAATGAAAATGGTTTTAAATGAATAATATTTAAATTCCTATGTTGTTAGGATGAATTAACAACGGTTAATGTAAAACATGGGTTCACTACATCACTTACTATATCAGATGAACATCAACATGGAACAGCTCGTAATTATAACATCACAGCATCCAAAATTGGTGCATTCTTCAATGCAATTATTAATAAAAAAGAAGAACTTAATACACTAGTAGATACTGGACGTAAAAGGTTACAAATAAATCCAAAAGATAATTTTTGGCCTGCTACTGCCCGATCGAAGACTACAGTTGAGGCTTGGTTTAAAGATTTAGCTGGATTTAAACCATTAAATATACTTTCTAAAAAGGCAAGTAACTTGTGTGTATTTACATTTTATAATTCAATACAATTAGACAGATTTGTTTACAACTTGGAAATTATTTCCACATTTTGAAGTAGGTACCTGATGGATAATACCTACCCTTCTAGTTTATTTGTATTCTAAAATTTTTGATTTTTATAATACATATATTATGTACACATAATTATGTTTTACTTATATTCAAGATAACATTGTGAGACTTAACAAACTTTATAGGCCCCCAATTTCAACAAGAAAGAAGAAATATTTATGTTATTATGTGAATATAATGTCCCATTAATTCGTGCTACATGGTTTATAAAATTAAGTTCTGCATATACAATCGCTGTGTCTGAAGCAAAAATTAAATCTAAACGTCAACTGCCCGATCCTACACTTGGTACGTACATTTTATTCAGCTATACGTCTTTGATCTTATAACAATAGTGTATAATGATCAATTTAGAGTGGACGAGTACATTACTAAAGTTTACTAAAGAACAACTAACTAAACTTCAAGATTATTATCAAAATGCAAACATGTCAATGAGTTCATCACATTATTTGTCAATGAGTGAAGAGCAAAAAATTTCTCTTAAACAATGGAATTATTGTACTAGTCTCATCAAGTATATGTATCAGGTAAATTGTGTACATGTTATGTTTATATGATACTTTTTGATGAATATTTTATTGTATTTTAGGAAGGACTATTAGATCGTCAAGAGGTTCTTCAATGGATATTAGATATGCTTGAACGTTATAAATCATCATCTAACAGTGAAGATGGTTTATTGAAAGTATTAAGTCCTTTAGCTTTACAGTATTGTTCAGAATTTTGCCAATCTGAACTTCTTAGTCGGAAATTAGTTTATTTTTGTTCTCGTAAATTAAATACAATATGCAACTCAGTAATCGACTTGAATCCACCACAGAGTCCTACTTCAAAAGGAGCTTCAAATAATAGTGTCCCGAGGTATAATATTAGTGTATGATACAATTTATATACAATTTTAATAAAAATCTATTTTAGCAATACTTCCAGTGCTACTAATGCTGCGTCTGCCTTGAATGATATGATGTCTTGTCCTCATCATAGAGATATTTTACTTCCTCTTAGCTGTATAATTCAAGTATGTAATGAAGAAAATAAAACGTGTACTTTTCACAGTAATTGTACAGTTATTATTTTTTTTTTTTAGGTTATTTTATTAGAATGTCCTACTTCTCTTATATGGAATCATTCAGGTGGTGGAAAACTTCCATCTGTTCTAAATGGATCACCTCTAGATTATCTTCCTTGTTCACCAGTAGTTTTACCAATGCCTCAGAGAACAAATAATATTCAATTAAGGTAACTCAAAATATATATTGGTTTTAATCTAGATAATACATGATGTATACTATATAATAGTTAAAAACAAAAAAAAGTATGAACAATAATTATATTTTGTTTGATTTATTTACTGCTTTTTGAAAATGTTGCAACTAATTTATATCAGGTTTATTATAATATTTAAATATTGAGACTTGGATTTATTGAGGAGTATTTTTGGTTAATATTAAACTTAATTTTAGATTCTGAGCGGAGTGATGAATGTATTGGTTTTAAAATGATGTGTTTTTTTATTTTTCGTGTCTGTGTCTGTGTCGGCTTGGCACACAAAAGGTCCATGGATCAGTGTTTTTAAGGGGCCCCCACAGGGGCATCATTTCAGTTTTTTTTCCTTGTGTGCAAGATTTTAGGCAGGCCAGTTTTAACATTTAATATTCAAACAATAACCATGCCCTTTAAAGTATGTTAATATTATCTCCCTTTTATAATCCTAATTAAAATTACTCATATCAACTAATGTATATTGTAATTTTCAAATATCTAACAGTTCAATGTATTAAAAGCTTATAAGCAACTAGAACAAGTAGCAAGTAGCGGCCAACAGAAGCCATTTTACTACTATTTGGAGAAATAAAAAGCAAATGCTGTATAAAGGACTTTTTTTTTAATAAATGTATTTAAAAAACTAAACCCTATTCAATATTCATCATAGGCGCAATTTCAACTTTTGACTTGGGAGGCTGAATATATTAAATGCAAGCAGACCATTGCAATATAGCATATTAAAATTGTGTGTCCTTGGTTTTTTTTTTTTGGGGGGGGGGGGGGTGCTTAGCACCCTCCAAGCCCACCCAATTTGAGCGTATGATATTCATACAAATAAATATTATTAATTATTTTTAAATTTAAATCAGTGGATATCTATGGGTTCTAATATATTATGTATACTGCTTACTCCGCTATAGCTGGCTCAAACTATCTTATATAATGAAATGCGCTTCACACGGTTATCAAATCGGGATAAATTTGATGATAAAGCTGATAAAAAAATAAATATATATTACATGCATGAATATTTTATTAATTTTTAATAGTAATCATATCGGCGCATAGGAGCATTAATGGAGGACCAATTATTTATTCTATTATATTAGTGGTGCCGTCGCACACCCTGCTCCTCCTCCCCAAATTACGCCCCTGAGGCCCTATCATGAAATAGAAAATTTACTTGACATTTTGGGGAATTATTAATTACACAGAAACAAAATTACGAAAACCAAAGTTATATTTATATTGCCTATAGAATTTTAACTTTGAAGACAAATCCATAAGCATAATATCGTTCACAGTGGCGTCATTTCAGTTTTCAATAGAGGGGGGCGAAGATTTTGACTGGCCCAAATGGGTAAAAACAAACCGCTCGTAACTACATATTATCTACTTCCATTTATTTATGGTACCCTTTTTATTAACGAGGTAACATAATTTTTAAATAAAAGGTATTAAGTCCGTGATCAATGATAATTAAGGGGATTCGATACTGCGATTTTCTGTTTTTGTCTACACGCGCGACATAGTATTTTAGACGTGTT